CCCCATGGGGCTGCCGGGCCCTCGCCCGCCGCCGCGGAGCCCACCGGTGACACCGAGCCCGCCGGGGCCGGGGACCGAGCCGCTGCTGTGTCCCCGCCGGGAGCCGCGGCGCGGAGCGCAGGTACGGGAGAGGATGCGGTGCGAGCCGGGAGCGGGGGCGGGGAGTACGGACCGAGAGCTGCTCGCCCCGGGAGCGGGAGCGGGGTGCGGGGTGCGGGGTGGGGGTCCCCGCTGTCGGCAGAGCCGGTGTCCGCAATCATCCCGACCCCGCAGCCCCCGAGGACCGCATGCACCGTGAGGGCCAAGGATGTGTCTGGGAGCTGCCCTACCGCCGGTGCCGGCCACTAGGAGCGATTTTTTTTTATCCGTAAAGCAGGGGCTGGGAAGATAGCGAGCCCCAGCGCCGCTGGCATGAACCGGGGGTTGGAGTCGGGCCGGGGAGGGGGCTGTCGCCTCCACTCTGCTCCCCCTGCCCCGCTGTCGCACTGAGCCCCGGGCACTGACCGGGAGCCCGGACCCCACCCGTGGGAGGCAGCGGGCCCGGGTCCTGCCCTCAGTCCTGGCTGACAGCGGTGCCCTCTCCCCGCAGCCTGGGCAGCCCGCAGCAGCCAGCCAGGAGCATGGCCCACACAGACAGCAAGCTGGGGTCCCCGCCGGTGGCACCCTCGTCCCCCGAGYTGGAGTGCCAGATCTGCTACAGCGGCTTCGACGCCCGTGCCCGCAGGCCCAAGCTGCTCCGCTGCGGCCATCGCCTCTGTGCCCGCTGCCTGCGCAGGATTGTGCCCCCGGGGGACGCATCAACCCCTCAGCTCCGTTGCCCATTCTGCCGCCAGCACAGCCCAGTGCCCGGCGGGGACGTGCAGCAGCTGCAGGATGACAATGAGGCACTGGCACTGCTGACAGGCCGTGAACGGGCCAAGAAAAGGGCTCCACCCMGATCTCCCGAGGTCCTCCTTTGTCCCAGTGTGCTGGAGCCCACATCCAGCCCCGACTGCCTCGTTGTCACCATCCTGGAGGTGCCAGAGGACGTGGCCCCACCAGAGAGCCTGGGCAGGCTGGAGGTGGTGCGGCTGTACCGCCCCACCAGCCTGGGTGCRCTGCCCTGCCACAGCCCTGGGCAGAAGTGGCGCTCCTGGGGGTGGCAAGCTGTCCCCCGCTTCATCCTGGGCGTCCTCTGCCTCCTCTACTTCAGCTCTCTGCCCTTCGGCATCTACCTCCTGCTCATCGAGCACCACAGCCTGGGCATCATCCTGGTCAGCCTTGTGCCCTCCACCCTCCTCCTCTGCATTGTCTACAGCCTCTGCCAGTGCCTGTGTCTGGAGGTCTTTGGGTTCCCCCACTCTTGACCYAGCACGGCCAACCCCTGTGCCTGAGCCCGGGATGATTTGGGTTCCTTGGGGTACAGGTATCTGACCCACAGCATGCTCTGCCTGGACCACGGGGAGCTCAGTGCCTGGTGCCTTCCCATGCAGAACAGCACTGGCTTTTCCATGTCGGAGCTCATGCTGGAGAGGCTGCAGGAGCTCGTTGCATCCTACAAGCATTCGGGCTGGACCTTCAGCTCCTCATCCTCCTCCTCCACAGCAGACAAAGAGCAGGAGCCGGGACACTGATCCCAACTGAGGAAGCACAAGTGCTGTGTGCTGAGCGCCGCGGCCGGAGGGGCCCCGGCAGGAGAGGGACGGGCAGAGCCCGGGGGCTCCTGCGGCCGGACTGGCCCCAGCACGGCTCCGTGTCCATAGTGTAAATAGTTCTGTCCGTGGCGCCCACGCTCCTCGTGGGGCTGCTCCCATCGCATCTGTGTTTCTTTCTCATGTGTGAGTCCCGTGTTCGCTGACATTGTGTCCTGGAGAGGGAAGGAGCAGAGGAGAAGCGTTTCTTT